GGCTACCAAGAATCGAAAGTTATTACCATACTTGGAGTGCGTGCACAGGTTGTGCAAAAGGTTCATCAAGGCAGAATTCAAACATGTGCCAAGGATCCAAAATGAATTCGCAGATGCCTTAGCCACTTTGTCTTCCATGATTCAACATCCTGATCATAATTACATTGATCCTATTTACATCCACATATACGAGCAACCAGCATACTGCTTTCATGTTGAAGAAGAGCCTGATGGAAAGCCTTGGTACGATGACATTAGAAGATTTTTGAAGAGCGGTGAGTATACAGAGGATGCAACAAGTGTGCAAAAGCGTACAATTCGGAGGTTAGCAAATCAATTCTTTCTAAGCGGAGAAATCCTTTATAGGAGGACTCCCGATTTGGGGTTGCTAAGGTGCGTCGAAGCTGGAGAAGCCAATAGGTTGATTGAAGAGATACATGCAGGAACATGTGGTCCTCATATGAATGGTTTTACATTGGCAAAGAAGATCTTGAGATCGGGGTATTTCTGGCTAACTATGGAGACAGACTGTATACGCTATGTTCAAAAATGTCACCAATGTCAGACTCATGCAGATATGATCCGAGTCCCTCCCAACGAACTCCATGTTACTAGTTCACCTTGGCCCTTTGCAGCTTGGGGCATGGACGTCATTGGTCCAATCGAGCCAGCGGCATCCAATGGACATAGATTCATTCTGGTTGCAATTGACTACTTCACTAAATGGGTCGAAGCCACCTCTCACAAATCAGTGACAAAGAAGGTTGTGGATGACTTTGTCAAAAATAATATTATCTGTAGGTTCGGGATTCCTGAGTCAATCATCACTGACAATGGAACCAACCTAAATAGTGATTTGATGAGATCATTGTGTGAGAAGTTCAAGATCAATCACCGAAATTCTACAGCATATAGACCGCAGATGAATGGAGCTGTTGAGGCTACAAACAAAAACATCAAGAGGATATTGCGCAAGATGATCGATAATCACAAATATTGGCATGAAAAGTTACCCTTTGCATTGCTGGGATATCGTACAACCATCAGAACTTCTACCGGGGCTACGCCTTATTTTTTGGTATATGGTAATGAAGCTGTGATACCTGCCGAAGTGGAAATACCATCTCTAAGGATTATTCAAGAAGCGGAGTTGGATGATGCTAAATGGATACAAATTCGGGCGGAAAATCTTGCATTGATAGATGGAAGGAGGATTAACGCCATTTGTCATGGTCAGCTCTATCAAAATAGAATGGCCAGAGCTTTCAACAAAAAGGTTAGACCCAGACATTTCTCACCTGGGCAACTGGTTCTGAAGCGGATTTTTCCAAACCAAGATGAAGCAAAGGGTAAATTCTCGCCAAACTGGCAAGGTCCATACATAGTCTCTCGGGTATTGACAGGCGGAGCCCTCATACTTGCAGAAATGGATGGAGAAGTTTGGCCCAAACCTATCAACTCAGATGCTGTGAAGATATATTACATCTAAGTTCATTTCATGCTCTCTTACCCTGTATTTGGAACTACGTCAGACCTGATTCCCGTTTAAGAGGGGATACGTAGGCGCTCCTATGGAGTTCGGTCTTATCATAATAAAAATTTCATTTTCCCTTCTGACTGTTAACTGGGGCAAAATTTTTGAAAGGGTTTCAAAAATTCCATCAGAAGAACATTTTCTTGCAAGTGATGATACTGAAGCAGAATTCTTTGCAGGGACTCAAAATTCCTACAAAAGCATTTCTTCGCGCAAATTAGTAACTGGCGCAGAATTTTTGAGAGGGTCTCAAAAATTTCATAAGAGAGCATTATTCTTGCAAAACCTCGATACTGGGGCAGAATTTTGAGAAGGTCTCAAAAATTCCATCAAAAGCATGTCTTCTCACAAATCAGTAACTGGGGCAGAGTTTTTGAGAGGGTCTCAAAAATTCCTTCAAACGAGCATTTTTCTGCACAAATCAAGAACTGGGACAAAATTTTGAGAGGATCTCAAAAATTCACAGCAATCAAGCTACATTCTTCAACAAAGATCAGATAACAGAATTGCTACTAAGTCAGATGATGTAAAGTCTCAAACTGTGCCATGGTCAAAGATTCAACATTACTTTTTACAATTTAATATTTTCAAAGCTTTTTCGAAAACTCTCTCTCCTTCTATTTTTACATTTCTCTCCAAAGCAAATGCCCGGAAAGGTCTAGATGGCAAGCCAAAGGGAGCACACCGGTCGGAGCAGATCAACCTCCCCCTTTTTTAAACTCACAATTTTTCTTTGAATACAGGAAAGACAGGTACAGATACAGAAGACAGCTTCAACATCGTCTGACCACTATTAAGCTCGACGAATCGTCAATCAATGGTACCCTATCCTTCTAATCAGACAAAAGGATCAGACTACTCCATATCAAACCCGACAAATGAACATTCAACTACACTTACCCCTTACAATAGGACGAAGGGTCAAAGCTACAATATTCTGAATTCGTCAATAAATGACACTCAATCCTTTCAATAAGGCGAAGGTCTATGCCTCCAATCAACTATTGCATGTGCCCGAAAATTGCATCGTACCCGATATTGCATGTGCCCGAGAATTGCATTGTGCCCGAAGATTGCATGTGCCCGAAGATTGCATTGTGCCAGAGATTGCATGTGCCCGAGAATTGCATCTAGCCCGATATTACATGTGCCCGAGAATTGCATTGTGCCCGATATTGCATGTGCCCGATATTACATTATGCCCGAGATTGCATTGTGCCCGAGATTGCATGTGCCCGAGAATTGCATCGTGCCCAATATTACATGTGCCCGAGAATTGCATTGTGCCCGATATTGCATGTGCCCGAAGATTGCATTGTGCTCGATATTGCATGTGCCCGATATTACATTATGCCCGAGATTGCATTGTGCCCGAGATCTGCCTGTGCCCGAGAATTACATCATCTGCATTGTGCCCGAGATTGCATTGAGCCCGAGATTGCATTGTGCCCAATATTGCCTGTGCCCGAGAATTACATCATTGCATGTGCCCGGGATTGCATTGAGCCCGAATTGCATGTGCCCGAGATTGCATTGTGCCTGATATTGCATGTGCCCGTGAATTATGTCATCACATGAGCCGAATTGCATGTGCCCGAGATTGGAGTGTGCTCAAGAATTGCATATGTCCGAATAAACTCAAAACAAGCTACAAGTATCAACAGATGCCCGAATTACAGATACGCTTTCTTTACTCATTACTTATATTCCTAAGGCGTCATGGTCTAAAGGCATTATTTTCATGGCCTGCGGACATCATATCATGGCCTGAGGATGTACTTTCTGCTTATCATGATCCAAAGGTGTCATAATCTAAAGGCATCATTTTCCATGGCCCGTAGACAACATTTTCATGACTTGAGGATATAATTTTTTGCGTATTCATGGCCCTAGACATCATAGCCTAAGACATCATTTTCATAGTCTTATGGCAAACATCATTGTCGATATGGGAAATTGCATCATGTTTACCTTTATCGTTTGTTTGATATATTTGCTCTAACAATATTACAAGCTACAGATTTGCAGAGACTAACATTTTTACAGACAAGATCAATCTCCCTCTCGGCTACAATTATCGTGCTTACGTCTATCGCAACAAAGGCCCTATCAAATCCTTTGCTACTTATATTACCGTTTTTCATTTAACCTTTGGCTACTCATATTACCACTCCTCGTCGAATCTTTCGTCTTTAAATCGGAAATCTCCCTGTCATGCCTTTCTCGCTACTCTAATCCTATCCATTCAAGCAAATATTGTTCTCGTTCGAATACCGTATCGCTCTTCCAATTCTTAGGAGTTTCGTCTGCTCCTGAGTCTAGAACTACACACGACCTGATTCTCGTATAACCAGAGATATGTAGGCGGCTTAATACAAAAGTCTCGGTCGTACCCTTTTTCAACTCTACATCATTTCAATTGATCCCACTAACATTTCTCGTTGGTCGGACAAAATCGGCTACTAAGTCAACGTTGGTTGCCCGACAATTCATCCTTCATTCTCAAGCAACCAAGGGGCAGCTGTTGACACCCAATTTTGACCGACCTTTAACCCTTTTTGGGAATGCTATTCTATTAAATACATTTTTTTTTAAAATATTTCGAGTATAGAATCTTAGTCGATTTTGTCTATTTTAATACGCGTGCTTTATAAAATTATCGTAAATATTATTAAATATTTATTTTATTTAAATGTTTTAAAATTTAAGTGATTTTAATTATATAAAAATATTATGATATGTGTAGTATTTAATTGAAATAGCATTTCTTAAAATTTCCTCAAAATCATTTAACTTGTAGCCTATCTTCTTCTAATTCATTTCAATTTTAGCCACTTCAATTAAAATTTCCCTTTTTCAATTATAGCCTTTGTTGATTTCAATTTTAGCCTATTCTTATTATAATTTCAGATTTCAAGTGAGTTAATCTCATCCGTCCATCCTTTCATCAAACCCAGGATCAAATCTTAGCCCTACATCTTAATAGATTCAAGGGTCCAGATTTAGACTTCGTTTCTTTCCTTCTTCAATTCTAAAAGAACCTAACCCTAAAAAACAATTCCCACTCTCTCCAGCCGCCGCCTCCCCCTCTCTCTCTTCTCCTCCGACAGCCTCAACCGGCGGCAGCTCTGACCAGCGAAATCAACCGGGGAGAGATCTATCCTCTCCTCTCCGCCTCTTTTCCTCCTCTCTCCCTTCGTCCTCCTCTCCCCTTCTCCCTTCGCTCTTCCTCCTCTTCCGTCCAGCAGCCACCGGCGAGCAGGACCAGCATCAGCAGCCAGCGAGGACATCCACCAGTGACCAGCAAGCACTGGCGAGATCCAGCAGCCAGTCGACTGCCTCTTCTCCCTTCTCTTATTTTCGGACAGCAGCTCCGAACCAGTGAACAAGGCGAACTCCGACGGTGCTTTTTGAAAGTTTCAAGCCAGTCAAAAGACGGATCTTTAACAGATCCGTCCGGGTACATTTCTTCTAAAGCATTATCTCATCTTCGCAATTTTATTCTTCTTCTTATTTGTAATGTGATGGAAGTTATAGGTATGTTTGGTATAGAAGTTATTTTTAGTCCTAAAAGTGAACTGCTAGTTAAAACTTTCAGATTTTATAAATTGTTTATGTGTGATATAAAGTGGAAGTATAGTCTCCTTCATGTGGTTGTTGTTCTTGTTTGCTTAGCTTATTGTGTGGAAGTTTTTCCCTGTATTTGTAACATTTACCTAGACTGTTGATCTCTTAGTTAAAATTGATAAGTTGGTTATGAAATCACCGGTTCTTGAGATGTCCTTTTTTTTTTATTTACCTCCCATAACGTCATTTAATCCCTTTAATTGATGCATGTAGTGGTGATAATTTTGTATGTTAAATGGAATATTGGGTTTGCTACTTGAGTTTAGATTGATCCTTGGAAGATTGCTCTTTTCCTTGTTGTGAATATATTATAAAATACTCCTTGAATCATTGTTTTCTTCCTTTAATATAATTATTTTTATCCTTGCCTAATATTGATTAATTGATACTAAGGTGATTTTTATAGTATTGTGTTAATCCGAACAAATTTCGTGTCTCTTCGTAAGGTAATATTTCCTTATTATTTTATTTAGTAATGCTAATTGATCATAATTGGCGTAATTGGAATTTAGTTGATTCTTACTTGTTATATTTTACTAAAATTATATTTGATTGAGCAAAATAACTTAAAATAATATTACTTATTTGGTGAATAGGGAAAAATATCTAATTGATCGTTCTTGCCATATATAATCCTTGATTGTTGATGTCACAATTTAGGCTTCATTATTTTGGTAAGAATCCTAGTTTTCACTCTTTTTTCATATATAAAAAAAATAAAATATTCCTTCCTTGACCAGTTGTTCCTTTCCACTAACTTATATATATTATTAACATAGTAACTTCCTTAATTAACTTTCTTGGTATAATTAGGATCTAACTGTCTCTTACTTGCTTATTTTTGGTAAAATCCTTATTGTTTATTGAATTATATGGCTGATTTTGTATTTCCTTATTTTAGAAAGCAATGATAGTCAATTGACCCCGAAATATTTCTTTTCCTTTATTATGTGCCCTCCCTTTCACTATATAAAGGACACTCTCATCCGGACCCTCTCACACACACGGTTGATCACACACCTCTAGACACTCTCACATCTACTTTGCTCTTACTTTGAATAAAAAAAAATATATATATGTTGCTCGCTGCTCTTTAAAATAGGATTAAGTTTTCCGGTAAACATTAAAGCTTCTCTATACTTGCTATTTTGCTGTGTACGGGTCGAAAGTTGGATTAAGGGGTCTTCATTGCTGATATTTCTTGTCTGCCTAATTGGTTAGTAATCTTATTTAGCGTTCATATTATTTTGCATCCATACCTCTATGTAAGTTGTAATGGTAAAGAAAGCATTTGGATTAGTTTTCGTTCTTCCCTCTCGCTATGTGTGATAATGCCTATGATTATTATTTGTTTGTTTTGACCTTTTTTATGAGTGTTGCTTATACGTATGAAAGTAATTTTGTTGCTATGAATATTTGATGTTACGATTATTTTGCCACTATATATATGTGTGTTACATTATCCCTTTTAACAGGTGTTGAACTTAGAGTTTAAGATGTCGAAGAGTCTCCTAGAAGAGAATTCCAGACGGAGCTATTTTACTTATTTTAATGTTGTATATTTTATTCATTTGTTCTTTATTTTGGCTTGTAATATTGTGTATAACTCTAACACTATCTCTATATGATATAACTTGGGGGATCGTCTAAGGGGAGGGGATTTACGTGCTACTTGTTTATATTTTATTATTATTCAAATGTGTTAGAACATATGCTTGCAGGATTATAATTGTTTGATTATTCGTGTTTAACTTTCTTCATTTAAAATCCGGCTTAAGGTAAAATAAAAATAAAAATAAAAATATAAATTACATACCCTTAATCACCTTTTGGCTAAATACTCTAAAATGAATCACGTGTTTAATCGGTTTATTGTCTTTGTAGTTTATTTATTTGCCCCGTATGACCACTTTTAATTATGACAAGATAAAATTGTGTATATGTTTACTACTGTATTTTGTTATAAATCACCAGCTCTCCTTTCACTAAAAAATAGGGAAAGTGATTAAATAATTGCCTAGTTACTAATATGCTTTGTCTTAAAAATTTACTTTAAACATCTTGCCTATAGGATTTCACTTCAAACATATTACTTGATGTAGTAATTGCAAGTTGTATATTATCTAGACATTACGGCTATAGTTTTAAAATCATGTTGATAAAAGAGTGATTTTAATCTGTTAAGTTCCTTGTTAATTCACTCTTTAATATGGATAATTGCTAACTTTTGCATGTCTTAATCAGATGCCAACAATTATAATATCTCTTCAATTAATTAATCCTAGTAACTGTTTTGCTAATTATTACAATTCAGCGGTAAATAATTTTAGCTAACACTTAGAAATTATGCATATAGGACATAATTAATAAGTTGAGATGTCAATCAGTATATTATTAAAGAAAAGGAGTAAAATTATGTGTTAAAATTATAATCTGCTCCCTAGATCGAATCTGGCTCAAGTCAATTAGGTTCCAATCTGTTGTGCTATTGAAAATGCTAATAACTCATTCTGATCTGCTACTATTCTAAAATATTTCTTCTGCTACTTTAAACACTCGCTTGCTCAAATTACATACTGTTAATAAAAAAATATTTTTGCATTTTTGAATAACTCTGGCCACTCAAACTCAATCTAAAATTTGCTTCCTATTAATTATTTACCACCTTTTTTAAAATCAGTAATAATAATTATATGCATGTTGTTTAAACTGTTTGTTTAATATTGCTTATTCCATTCACTTCTCCTGTTCTAATGAGTGTGGTCTGTTTGTATGTCACACACTTAGCATGAAACCCTTTCACTATTATATGTGTTTGCTAGCATGTTAATTAAAATCTAGAGGCCAATATGAGACCCTACGTGCTAAATGCTCGTCTAAATTGTTTGACTTGGTGTCTAGGTGGGCCTATTATATTTTATTTTGTCTAAATTCACCCTAATAGCAGTCCAATGCCTCTTGGACCTTACGTGGGGACGCTAGACACCTGTTAGAGACGAAAAGCATGCGGTGGTGGGGTAGGGGTAGTTTAGGCCCTATGGAGATGATGACATCGACTCGGTCTAAATGACAAACCTTGGTTTTGTTTATCCCTACAAGAAACCGATCGAAAATAAAGAAAGTCGAGTGCTGATCCTAAAGTCCTTCAGAGTCTCCCTTTCCTTTTTCTCCCTTTACTTGTTATAAATATTTGGGGTAGCTTAAATAAAATAAAATAAATTGGTTTGCTTATCTAATTGTGCAAATTTCTATCCCCTTGCTCATCTCTTTATTTATTGTGTAATATTTATTTATTATATTATCACTTAGTCTCGCATGCCTATCTAATTAAAATAACTAAAATGTCCTAAATTGCTAATTTCATGTTGTCACCTAGCTATGCATGATAAACTAATTAAAATAATTTAAGTGCCCTTAATTGCTTAATATTGTTATCACTTAGTTTTACATGTTTAATTAAATAATAAATAAATAAATTGATCTTAATTATTTAAATTATCCTATCTGGAATGATACTGAAAATGGTGTTTTTACTAACTACTCTGCATGGCAAATAGTTAGAAAACAAAGACCAAAAAATAATTTTCTCAACAACATTTGGCATAATAAGATGCCTTTTAAAATATCTTTCTTAACTTGGAGAATGTTTAAAAGGATATTGCCCTTTAATGACATAATTACTAGGCTCAATATCAACTCAAAAAATGATTGTTTTTGTTGTTGGAATGCACATAATGACACTATGTATCATGTGTTTAGAGAGGGAGAAGCAGCAAGGCAACTATGGAGCATGATGGAAAACCCTCTCGGAAAACAACATAAAAATCAACCTATGACTAATATCTTCAGTGCTTGGTGGGAAACAAAACCAGAAAATGCCATTCACAAGACTATCTTGAAGATTAACCCTACAATTATTTGTTGGGAGGTTTGGAAGCAATGGTGCTCTTGCAAATATGGAGGCAAAAAATGCCTCCAAACTAACAAAATGTGCTATCAAACCGTTCATACTATAAAATCTGTTTTGGCTAATACTTTTCAAAACTTCCATGGAAGTAATTATTGGCCATCATTTTGCCTAGAAGTTGAGAGGCTCAGACCAGTTCAGATAATGAAGCAAGTAACATGGAGTTATCCCCAAAACGGCATCATAAAAATCAATATTGATGGTAGCTATGTACATGAGACCGGAAAGGCAGGCATTGGGGGAATCATAAGGAATAGTTATGGAGACTTGATCATGGCATTATCTTTCCCCGTTGAGTGCAAAAAAAGCAACTTGGTTGAGGCCATGGCAATTGAGTTTGGTGTAAAATGGTGTAATCAACATGGGTACACTAATTTTATTCTAGAACTTGACTCCATGAATATAGTCAATATGCTCACCAACGATATAGTTACAAATATGAAGCTGAAACAAGGAATTGACTCCATCAACGTCATCAAAGAAATGGTGCAAATGCAAATTAAGCATTGTTTCATAGAGGGAAACCAAGTTGCAGATTGTTTAGCAAAATTGGCCTCTTCTTCTCACCAGATGCTCATCACTCAACTCTATTCCAATCTCCCTAGACAAGCTAAAGGTCTCTTCTACTGGACAAATGGCAATTGCCTAGTATTCAGAGCAAATATGATAGAGCAAATTTCTTTGTAAGCTGGTTATTTTCTTCTTCATAAATTTACAGAAGGCTCTATAGTAGTTTTTGTAAGCCTTCAGATCAGTGTTGTATTGAGGTCAGGTCTAGCCCTCCTCTAATCCTGTTTGCTAATACAACACACCCTATCCGGGTAATTGATTAAAAAAAATAAACAAAGGGATCAACCCATAACTTTGCCCATAAGGCCATAATTCCCAACTCATCAATATACCAACAATTCAACATGAATAAGTATAGATAATCATAGGAAACATCAATACAATCTAATCTAAACATAATTTCACCCATAGAGATCATACTCACAAAGACCCACATCATAGGCCAATTTTCGAGAATTTGGGGATCATGGGTTCTTTAAGAATTCCTTTGAAAATTATCTTAAAAACCTTAATTCCACATTAATTGATCAATAGAATGATTTAGTAAATAGTTTGACAAGGAACCCATGTTTAGATTGAAAATTGGGAATTTTTGGTCTTTGAATCACTTTTGAAAATCTTTGATAGAACTCCTTGAATGAGAGGTTATTCAAGAATCAAGAGT